TCTGTCTGTCTGTCTGTCTGTCTGTCTGTCTGTCTGTCTGTCTGTCTGTCTGTCTCTGTATATCTGTCTGACTGTCTCTCTCAACTTAACTTCTTTGCTCACTGCCTCACTTGAACAACTACAGGAAGACGTTAGTACTGAGTACCGACACCATTTACAAAAATACTAACTGCATTTTCATTAAGAAAAAACCCAAACAAAACAAATAGCTTAATATAGTTTTAACCAACAAAGTCTTCCACACGTGAAAAAGCCAGCAGCCACACTCTGACGTCATTACTGGGGAATAACGCCTGAGGAATTAGAACTAGAATTTTACTAGAATGTATATTATCTATTTGTTGTTGGGAAACCTGATGTAATCGCCTACAGTATTTAATACAGCTAGAAGAAACATGATAAAGTTCATCTCGAGTTTCAATAACCAGCGCTCAGTCAAGCCGCTTGAATTAGAGTTTTCTTTCAGGTTCTTTGGTGGCAAATTCCAAATATAGATTACTACACAAAATATATTATTATATAATGCTCCCCGAAACTTTTCCGTGCTCTGTGCGAATATATATTGGTTGCGAGTAAATATTAATTTAATAGTACATGTTAGCCTGTTGTCGGTCAAAGGGCCATAAATGCGTAACGGGGGAAAGGGTTACATATCATCTGAAAGGAGAATTTGTTTCACAATGCTACTATCACTGTGCTAATTTTTCTGTCCAAAGCCTGAAAGAAGAGGGAACAATTTTGAGTTTATTTTAATCTGAAAGCTACAAAATCACAGCAAAAACACAATCAGAGAGTAGATCTTGGTTTAATATACCACTACCGATATCACCAAGACGCAGTATTTTCTTAGCACAGTCACTGCTCCCCAGAAGGTGTTTTATCTATTTATTTCTTTTAAACAGTCGCTCTTTCCAAGACCCCCGAGTGCTGGACAAAAGGCAAAAAAAAAAAAGCATAAAAATTAAATAAATATAAAAAGAAACAAATGTCAGGTCGGATGAAACCAAAAGTCTCAGAACTTGTCGTTATGATTGTACTCAAAGTGTTATTTTTGTTTATGTTCAACACTCAGAAGAGATAGCCAATGGTCAGCGCTGTAGCCAAGGACAAAGAAGCGAGGCTGGCCGAGAGAAGCGGCGCATCATCAGCGACATAATCCCCACAGGGTAGAGGACAAGGCTCCATGTAGCCCCGGATCCCCGCACACGCCCGCATCTTGGGCTGGGCTGCAAACTCACGGTAGATTCTCTGCGGAAACAATCAAACAAACAAAGTGAACAACACTGGCGGTGTTTAGATTTAGTAAGAATTTTGCGGCACTTGCAACACAATTTTTGAATTAGGTCTAATAAGTGCTGAAGATTTGAGGTATTACAAGAGAGTGACAAAGACAGAAAAGAAAGAGGAGATGTGAGGACCATGTGCATTTGATGGGAACGAATTGGAGTAAACTTTCTGACTGTGTTAAAAATCTAGACTTTTGAGTCTTTACACTTTTCTTTTCAAATGAGAGGTAATAAGCTCTCTAAAAAGTAGGTCATATTACAAAAAGAACATTTTGGTGCTTCAATTAGTGTCGACATTACGCACGTATTGTTCAGTATTGGGTTCAATCTTGTATACACAGCCGCTTGGAGCTGTGATCAGAAAGCACAATATGAATTATCACATGTACGCAAACGATACCGAGTTATATAAATCTGTTCCACCATCAGATGTTAAAACCTTGCTTACCACCATAGGTCTGTGCATTGATAACGTGAAAAAGTGGATGAATGATAATAAGCTCCAGTTTAATGAAAATAAAGCTGAAATTCTTTTATGTAACGCAAAGAAAAGCCATATCCCCATAGACTTTGATCATATTTTTTACTGAAAATGAAAAACTGTATTTTACTGATAAAGCAAAAAATCTGGAAGTGTTTTTTGATTAAAAATTGTCAATGGAACATCACATCAATTATCTATGTACAATTTTATTTTGTGAATTGTGTAGAATAGGTCATAACGTCTATCTTTTTGAAGGAACACTCGTTGAAAACGTTCGTGTCATCTTTCTTGTTTTCACGCATCGATTATTGCTATGCTTTACTTGCTAACTTACCAAATATCACTCTTCACAAGTTACAACGTTTTCAAAATCATGCTCCTAGGCTTGTACTAAAGAAAAAGAAGAGGGGTCACATTACTCCCATGTTAAGAACGTTGCGTTGGCTTCCTGTGTCAGCAAGAATGTCATATAAAATTGCAATATTATGTCAAAAATGTGCCAATAGCAAAGCTCCTTCATATCTTAGTAATCTCATCCGGATCTATGTTCCATTTAGATCACTAAGATCAGGCGATCAATGTATTTTAAAAGTTCCCCGAAAAGGGGGTAGAAAATAAGCTGAAAGATCGTTTCCCCACCTTGCTCCATCAGTTTGGAACTCTCTTCCCCAACCTTTGAGACATACAACATCTGAGTCTAAATTTAAGAAATCTTTAAAAGCACATTTAATGACATCATTTTTACGTCAGTAGATTCATGTTCAGTACGATGTTATGTAAATGGCTATGAATCCATTTATGTATTTTGCGAATTTTATTGTGTATATCATTTTATTATACATGTGTGTGTGTGCTCATTTCATAACGGTGGGGAAACAAGTAGATGTTTGTGTGTGTGTGCGCGCGCGCGCGCGCGCGCGTGTGTATGTGTGTGTGTGTGTGTGTGTGTGTGTGTGTGTGTGCGCGCGCGCGCGTGTGTGTGTTTGGCGTGCATGTGTGTGCACATGTGTGCGTGTAATGTGTGTGTGTGTGTGTGTGTGTGTGTGTGTGTGTGTGTGTGTGTGTGTGTATGTGTGTGTGTGTTAGGGTGAGCGTGTGTGTATGAGTGTGTTTGTGCGTGTGTGTGTCGCGTACGTGAATATTGCTCGTACATGCATTTATGTAAAGCGCCTAGAGCTGTGTTTACACGAGAGTGGGCACTATAGAAAAGATCTTCATTATTATTATTATTATTATTATTATTATTATTATTATTATTATTATTATTATCATTATTATTATTATTATGATTATTACTATTATTATTATTATTATTATATAGGTTTATACAAAAATAAATAAAACATTGACAATTTTTTTTCCGACCGCAGGGCCGATTTTTGTCCTTATTCTTTGTTTTTGATGAAGGTTTGGTTTGTGTTTATCAATAAACCTTTATAATTGTTACCTAGAAAGACGGTAGGTTTAATTCAACACCAGAGACATCAACATATCGGCATTCTCCCAGCACTTTTCTGCTGTTGCTAGGACATTCAACATTAACAGAGAAACACGTTTAATCTATGCATACTATATTTGTGAAAGTTCGTCACTTTCGCCGCCTAAAACTTCCGAACCACTGAACTTTCGAATTTGACCAAATTAATGGTGGTTCATAATCATTTAAAGGGAGCACAGTTTTATTGAGGAGCCTGAAGTCACTGTAATTTAATTTTCAGTTTTTCAATAGTTTCGTTTCGATCTAATCTTGAGAAAATCCATCTTCTAAGACGCCATTGTAACAAGTTAGGTTTCCGTTTACCAGCCGTCCACAGTGTTTCCACAATGACTTGATGATCCACGATTATTTTAAGTACGTTCATCGAATGTACCCAGCTAGTATATTATACGATACCATAAGAAATAGTAAAATTTGTAAAAATAAATAATACTAGATCAAATAAAATTTTACGGAACTGGATATTTTTATTATTGTCGTTTTAAAACGATTGTTCTAAAAAAGCAGTAAAATAATAAAAAGAAGATTTTGACCCAACTGCAACTAAACTAATTCCTAAAAAGCGACAATGTTTTCCCACTCACCAGACGGGCGAAGGGATCCTGTTCGGCGAGGAACCACGTGACGCCTTTGATGTCACCTAAGCCCCAGGACTTGATCAAGTCATTCACGTAGTAACGACATCTGGGGAGGAGAAATGGTAAAAGTTAATTTCAACCCCCTTTTCTAAAATCTGATTTTATGCCGAATGTTGGTAAGCTAAGAATAACATGTGTTTATGTGGTAGTTATTGTTAAATTCTTTAGAAAAACAAAACCAAGATATTGGTTATTATTAATGATTTTTGTGATTGCATTTATGGAGGATTACAATAACTATTGTGACGGAGATGATGATGATTATGATGATGATGATGATGATGATGATGATGATGATGATGATGATGATGATGATTTTTTTTGTTTCCTTAATGGGCCTGACGGACTCCACGAAGAAATCCTCGAGAGAGAGCAAGGCTCTTTTTCAGCTCCATTGTCAATATGCTTAGCGGCACCTCCACTCGTCCAAATAACTCCATTCGAATTGCCATTGTTCCTGGACATTCAAATTTATGTTTGAAATCTTCCTTTTTATGGCCGCATCTTCGGCAACATGGGCTGAGCTCTTCATTTACAAAGTTCTTATACCATCTTAAACTCCAATGATGGTCCGACCGCAGTCTCGCTAGCTCAACCTGGTCCCAGCGACATGTGATAGACTTTTGTTACCGCTTATAGGAGTACCCAGAATACACATCTTCCAGTTGCTGGTACTTAGTTCTACATTGTGGGTCTTTGATTTCCCTCTTGATCATTGGAAAGACTCCTCTGTATGTTGTTGGTCGTCTGTTTCCTTCAATCTCTCTGGCTTCATTAGCAGCTTGGTCTGCTGCCTCGTTTCCTTCTATTCCAATATGGCTTGGAATCCACTGGATTATTATAGTGGCTCTGGCTTCACTGAACTTTCGGTGCAAATCATTCATGTCCGAGCTGTTGCCCAGCAGCCCCTTGCAGAGGGACTGACTGTCAGTCAAGATCAGCACATGATGATGATGATGATGATGATGATGATGATGATGATGATGATGATGATGATGATGATGATGATGATGATGATGATGATGGTGATGAATAATCAAGATGGCATTCAATCTGTGAGTCGGAGGCTGTGTCTATGTACATTATACTTTCCATGGGGGAAACAATGACTGTATTGGCTAGGAGGCTTGGTGTTAAAAGGATACATATCAAATATGATATTTTGTGTCAACTAAACTGCGTAGCGTTGTCACTTCGTGTTGGGGTATTGTTTTTGATATGACGAGGTTTTCAAGCTTGAAATGATACTGTGAGGTTGTTAAAGATACGGGACCAGCGAATTTTCCGTTCATTTTTGAGATAAGGGCACCAGCCAAGTAGGTGGAGAGGCCTGGAAGCGCACAATGATCCCAGTAAATAAGTAAGAATTTAACGTCAGAGAGGTTACAGTTTGAAGGCAAACGGGTAGCAATGGAACTTATGCCGTGCATGCAATAACTTGCAAAATATAGCTAAGACACAAGACAAAGTTTTTTATACCTGCTTGTTCTGGGGTCCACGCAGGAGCCAGACACATGCTGGGTCAGACTGGAAGTGTCCAACATGCCCGTCGACTGCTCAAACAGAAGGAACGTATACATTCGGGCGCTGTCTCTGTGGGGGGTGAATGACATCTTTTGGGCCAAGTTCAAGGTACATATGCGGCAAAAAGTTGAGTAATAAAGGCTATGAAAGTTAAAATAAGCAGCCCCCACCCCCATTCCTCCCCCTCTTGCTGTTACATCTTGTACGACCACAGCTAATATCACTTGTCCAACTTCTACCACTCTTATCACTACTGTTTATACGCCGTTCAGTTGCCTCCACAACACCCAATCCAAAATAACTTCCCCCACGTAACCACGAACATATTATTCTTTTCTTGCTAAATTGATTTCAGCTCATTTACAAGTTCTATCTGCTCGGAATTTTACTGGGTTTAGACGGGCAACTTTATCAAGTTAGTCTATTCACCAGGCAGGGTAAGGAACACATGACTATAAAGCTGATAGTCATGATACCCAGTGAACAGATTGGCGCCAAAAAAAGTAGATAATCTGGCACATTTGGTGAATCGGTTGGTGCCAAAATAAGCTGCATTTACTTCGTCATATATCCAAAGAATGGATTGGCACCAAAATAAGCTGACGTTACTCCGGATTACCTGGTGAACGGATTGGAGCCAAAGTAGGGAATCACGGTGTTTCCTGATGTGACGTCAGCGCCCTGGATGTCTGTAACCAGCCAATGAACGATGAATGCCGGCATTTGGGGCGGGTCTTGAATTGAGCCAAAGTCCACCATCATTAGAGTAAACATTTTGTCTGGGGAAGTGTAAATGATGAAATCGAAGAGGTTTAATTGCACCTATCAATACTATTTAGTTACTTAAAAGGCGGGACCTTCGAGTTTAACGAGCATCTCCTAAAGGACAGTGCCAAACTGGAAATTGGTGTAAAGTGCATTACTCAAGCACACAACTTTCAACAGAGCTGAGGCTCGAATTCCGAGCCTGCAATTTCACGATTATGGGTCTACGCTATTGATGCCATTGGGGATTGTTAGAAAAACCAATACAGGTACACGATTGTGTGAACAACATAGAAAATGAAAAATATGCGTAAAATATAAGTTGGAGGTAAATTTCAAATTTTAATGTGAAAGGCTGATATAGGGAAAAGAGAAATGTTTGCATCTATCTATCGATACATCGAAATTCCATTTCAATAAGCCCCTACACCAAGATTTGGTCGAATCCAAAACTCAAACATTTTTTAGATGAGTTTGTGTCATACACGCTTACCGTCGAGACCTAATCTGTTGAGCCAGTTCATTAGTGTGATCTCAACACGGGGCGTGGTCCGTACATGCACAGGTCGCTGTGGTTTACTGGAGAAGGGATCCGGCAGGAGCATGGCGCCGCTGAAAGGAAAACAGTAGGGTTTCTTTTTAAATATATAAAATAATAGATTTTAAATGATAGATTTGAAAGGTTTTTGTTTAAATAT